ATCTTATGTGGGCAAATACATCAGAATTTGAGAGTACACATCTATGCAGTTTATTTATTATTTTATTTTTAATTTATTTTTTAATTAAAAAGATTTTTACTTTATAATTTAATAAAATAATTTAAGTTTAACACTGATGTATTTCAGAAGAAAGGCAAATATGGAAAATTATTTTCCAAAAATCAAGTTTTTGTTTCAGGAGGGAAACACAACTGTCTGATGTTTGGAAGAGACAAACGAGCCAAGGGAGCACTGTCCTCACTCCAGCCCTCCCATGGACTTGCTGTAATGCCTTTACAGCACATTTGACTTGCCCTGACAACTGACCTGTATTAGAGAAATGCTTAGAGATATTCAGATGAAGAAATATTCATAACTAGAAAGCATTTACTGTAATGAAGCCCCTCAGAAGAGGCTGTGCATGCTGCAGCTGATCTTTAGTGTAATTGCTCTGAATGTTGTGGTGTGTATTTTCATTCCTTTTCTGCATACGTTCAATATAATTTTCTGAGTAAAACAAACATCTATGCACAGTTGTGGAGGTGGGATTTTACACTAGTTATAGTGGATGACCTTCAGTTGTTTTTTTTTGCCTAGCAGTTTTACAAAATATAAGCCAAGTTACAACCCAACCTCACACTTTGACCTTTTAAAATTTACTTTTAAAAATAGAGGTTATCTTTTATGCTGCAAATTATGCTCTTATCTCTTAAAATCCCATAAGTCAGATATCATAATCCCACTTCAATTATGCTAAACTCTTATGTTAATTTAAAATCATGTAACTTAATTCCTGGCAAAGCAGGCTGGTGATTTTCAAAATGTGGTTAATGAGGCAAAGTACAATCTAGATTCTGCTACTGAGATCATCTGAATCCCTTAGGTCGCTGAAGATGACTATGGAGAGGCTCTTCTTTACAGAAGTCTGGGTTAGATTTTCAAAAAATGAATTTTTAAGTGCAGTTAGGGGCTATGAAGTTTGAAGTTGAGCATACAAAGAAGTTAAATTACTTTCACTAGAGCCATAGAACAACAGTGCAGCTAAAACAATTACACTTCTGTGCACACACATGCTTTAAAGGCCTTAAATCACAAACACAAACTGTAGCAGATTTTCAAGATGACAGTCCAGGGACCCGATGTCTATGTCCATGGATGCATGCAAATCAATGTCATTGTCTCTCTCATCTGCACAAGCCAAACATTTGCTAATATTTTCTTTCACCTGCCCTTGACTCAAACAATAGCTTTATGTAAGACCAGTTAGTAGATGAAATCTTGAGACTGTACAGCTTTTTCAATTCAATTACATCCCCTCATCCTTGAATTTCTGTCATTCCCTGATCAGATAGGCTGAAAGTTTGTCACTAAAGCAAGCTTAAGGTGAAGCTTAAGTTCTTCAGAGACTTTGTCATTTACTACTAATTTCTCTGAATTAAAGAATTCATAGAAAACATATATAAATTGGCCTCCATTCTTTATTAGCATGTTAAATTTTTTTTCCTCATATGTGTTTTGGAAAATATTGGTACATGAGCCAAATTAACAATTAATTAACACACACCCACAGCAGACAAGACAAAGCAAATATATAAACATCCAAAGATTGGTGTACGTTTATTTTTTATTTAACATCTTCAGTGGCTCCCTACAAGTCAAGAGAGATTTATTCAGGATTTGAGGTGGGAATCAATACTTATATGCACAGAGGATCTAGAGAGCTCCACTGCATCTGTGGAAAAGATGCTTTTTAGTCCAAGGTCAAATCCAAGTGAAATCTAAGGCAGTTTTCACATGAGTTAGGAGGTTGGATGACACAAAACCAAAACTGGCAGGAGCTGCTCTCTAATATCATAGAATCATAGAATCATAGAATCATAGAATCACAGAACAGTTTGAGTTGGAAGGGATCATGGAGGTCATCTAGTCCAACGCCCCTGCAGTAAGCAGGGACATCTTCCACTAGATCAGGTTGCCCAGAGCCCCATCTAATCTGACCTTGAATGTTTCCAGGAACAGGGCATCTCCCTGGGCAACCTGTTGCAGCGTTTTACCACCTTAAGTATAAAATATTTCTTCCCTATATCTAGTCTAAACCTCTCCTCTTTTAGTTTAAAATCATTACCCCTTGTCCTATTGCTACAGGCCCTGTTAAAAAGTTTATCCCCATCTTTCTTATAAGCCCCCTTCAGGTACTAAAAGGCTACAATCAGGCCTTCTCAGAGTCTTCTCTTCTCCAAGCTGAACAACCCCAACTATCTCAGGCTCTCCTCACAGGGGAGGTGTAACCCCACTTGAGAGTAACATTCATAAAAATGCATGGCCAAATTAAAAAAAAATATCATGCTGGGTAAAAACACATGGGAACTCAATAACAGCCATTAACTGGAATGGTGCACAACACTGGAGTTGCAGTGTGCCAGTGTCCAGCATGACAGCAGCTGCAAGGAACCACCTCTCCAGCATGGTGTCCCGGGGGTAGAGCTCTTGGCCATGGGGCAACTGTATTCCCCATGGTGCCCCGGGCAGAGTGGTGCAGCTCCAGTGCTCCCTGCTCTGGAACAGAGCCCACAGGAAAATCAAGAATGATTTCTTCCAGGGAAGGTGGGAGGCAGACACCATCTTGAGTCTAAAGGAGGAGATTTCATAGAATCATAGAATGGTTTGGGTTGGAATGGACCTTAAAGATCATCTGCTTCCAACCCCCCTGCCATGGGCAGGGACACCCTCCACTAGACCAGGTTGCTCAAAGCCTCATCCAGCCTGGCCTTGAACCCCTCCAGGGATGGGGCATCCACAGCTTCCCTGGGCAACCTGTTCCAGTGCCTCACCACCCTCACAGTGAAAAACTTCTTCCTAATATCTAATCTCAATGTACTCTCTTTCAGTTTAAGAATGTTACCCCTGATCCTATCACTACACTCCCTGATAAAGAGTGTCTCCCCATCTCTCCAGTAGCCCCTTGAAGTTGTTCAGCTGAGGAAAGGCATGCATCGGAGCAGTTCAACAGTTGGATATCCCGCCCCAAATACTTCTGGTGTTAACATGCATGGGTGGGTCCAGCTAGGCACAGCAACAGCTCACACAAGTAACAGTGTGTGTGTTTACCTGTCCAAGGCATGCCTGCACCTCTCTACACCTCATGGTGATGATGGCTTGCGGGCTTTTTCCTTCTCTTTGATCCATGGCCCCAGGGATCAGGCTGGCTTCGACTATGGGTGCTGCTAGTCACATACAGCACCACCTCCGACTTGGGCTGCCCAGAATGATTTTACCTTTCCTCCTTGGAGTGGCTCATCCTGCAGTGAGGAGAAACACGCAGAGCTTGCTCAGTTACACACTGGGACTGCCGAGGCTAGAGGTGGCATTTTTCCCTCTTCTGAGGAGAAAATTGAGGGAGAAACAAGAAGGAAGGGTACATAGGAAATGGTCTCTCCTTTCAGCAGGGACCCACAGTCACTCCTGTGGAAGGACAGAAGCCATACATTTGCCTGAGATGAGAGAAAGGACAGCAATAGCACTAGTCATGAGCAGTGGTTGGGACTAGAGGAAAAGGACATTTCACTTGCATCAGGTTCCTGGAAGGCTGTTTCCTTATTCTACAACTTGCTATATCAAGATGCTGGAGCAAGATGCGCTAAACCACTCCAGGAAGCAAAGAATAGGTGTCATCTTTATTTTGGAAGGGCATAGGGACTTCTCCCTATCCATTTTGCAGAGATTTGTCATCCTCCTGGGACATGCTGGCCACCCATCCTACAGTGCCATGTGCAACTGCAGGTTGCAGGAACCACCACATACATTGGTCAGACAGCACTTGAGGGAGGGGAAGGAAGAGGAGGAGAGAAGGTTCCTTTTCCTTTTATAAACAGGACTGTGGGGCTCTGGACACAACTGCCTCTAGGATGAATCACCAATACCCATCCAACAACATAACACTACAGCATCCACCCCACCCCTGGGGTTTGCTGGCTCTTGATAAGGCAGGAAGGACAGCAGAACACAGGTGACTTCAGGAAGCTCTGGGGACAAAACCAGTCCATGGGTTTGGGAGGCAATGGGCATACACACCCCAGTAACAGATTGCTGGGAGCTGGGCTGGTGATCAGACACTGGCAGACCAAGCGCAGTCACAGCAGTTGCAATGAAGTTGCTTCTCAGTACAGATCCTATAACATCCCATAGCTACCACCTTAAGACTGCCATATCACCAAAGATGAAGACTGTCTTGAATATCGGGACCACAGTATGCATCATGTAGTTGACTCCACTGTAAATTAAAATGTTAATTTTAATGTATGTGGCAGTTCTCTGAAAGGAGGGTCATGTTTGTCCATTCTAGTGCATTAGTCAAAATAGAGTAGCAGACCAGGACTTCAGATCACAGGCTTACCCAAATTTACTCTGCTCAACAGTTGAGCTGCTGTGTTATTTGTAGTTGTATACATTTGTATTGAAGAGCATCCTTCAATAAAAAACAATCAGGTATAAACCCAGCTGCAGCCTAATGGTAATCAAACAACCAAGCCTTGCAACTGAGAACGCTGCAAACATTTTAGAAAATTACCCAATGTTTCTTTATTAATAAGTGACAGAAAGTAAAAAATACACTCAAAAATAGTTTCAAAAGCAATTTCTAAAGCAAACAGACTAAAAAAAATCATGCTACTCTGAATGCTTTTTTCTTAAACCATTAAAAGAACATTAGGTAAGCTAATGCAACAGCTGGCTGCGCTACAGCTTCCACAGTATAATCCATAATGGTAAAAGCAGCATTTTCAGGCATTTTAGTGCAGTTTATGCTGTTTTCAGGTCTTTTTTTTTTGTGCATTCTCCTATATTTAATGTCAATTGATGTCACTCTAGCTTATAAAATCCCCACTAAGTCGAGACAGCTCCACTTAGCAGTAACTTTGTTTCCTTTCAGAGATAATATCAAAGTAGTTGTTTTGAATCCCAAAATGATAAGTATCTAATAGAAGCCTGAAGCTATTCTGGTGCTATACAATTGGTGATGTATAATTGAACATTAAGTAATCCAAGTAATAGAAGTCGTAGGTCAGCTGTCTCTCCTCCTTAGACAATTCCTTTAAGTACTGCCTCACTACTTCTGCACTTGTTCTCTCATCAGAGGAATGTCTGTCTTTGAATTTAGGAAACTTCAGCTCAGCTGGAGCACCTACCAGCTGCAAAAAGTAATTGGCATCTTCTTCCAGGGTTTCAAACTTTCCGATAAAATCATAGTTGATGAGGCAGGGATAGCAGAGCTTACTGACTTGCTCCCAATGAATGTCCATTCCTACTGGGCGATGGGAATCTAACAAATATTGGATAAATTCCTTGAACTTAACTCCCGATCCTGTTTTCAATGCCTCTTCACTTGCGTTATGTCTGTACTTCTTAATTATTGCCTTCCCAAATACTGGATGGTAATAGCTATTTGGATGTTCAAACTTATCCCTAAAGGCAGATACCAGTCTTTCCATAGGATCACGTACAAATATAGTCTTGGTGTATGTGTGCAACCGTGTGTGTATCCCTTTTAGGTCATAACTGTCCAGTTTCCTTAGATGCTTTCCATAGTGCACATCGTCATGGGAAATGTTGTGTGCCGAAGCAGCGAGTCCGTTGAGCACCATGAGGACCCTTTTCCAGTTGGAGCAGCCTGCTTTTGGCACTTCGCAGTACAGGACCTTATGCCTGTCCTCCACATAAATTCTTGACACCAAGCGCACAAGGTGGGTTTGCAGCTTTTTTCTGCTGTTGTATTTCTTACAGAAGTCATGCAGGAAGGACCTGCGCTTTTCCTGGGTGCTATCCACATCCTTCCACTTGCCACCCTTGACTAATGTCTTGTTTAAAGGGTGGAGTGCAGGAGGTAAGTATACCCCTCTGAACTGGCTGAGGGGTGACTTGCTCATCTTCTGCTGCTCAGAAAGTCGGCTCACCAGGGAGGCAGCCACCACACCAAAAGGGTCAGCCTTGCCCCGCCAGTGCCTGTGGCCCGAGACGGTCATCTCGTCCTTACTGAGGCCAGGAGGAGTGTTCCTGCTCCATGCAGCTCTCCTCGGCATCCCTGGAGGTGGGAGTGTGAAATCCTGCAAACATGGAAAGAAGCAGAGCTTACAATGCAGCGACAGCCCAGCCCAGCCCATTCACATTGCAACAGCAGCAAGGATGGCGGTGCGCACTTGTGCCCAAGCCACATTTAGTACTATGTCTCTTGTGAACCACTTGATTGGTACATCTAATTTAATGACAAGCTGGGCTAATTACTGAAATACGTGCTTCTGAAGCTTACGTGTTAGTGCACAGTAGGTCTTCCTACAAAATAAATGAATTAAGCCACACCTTTTAAGAAATGAGGAGAGGTTCACACAGGGAGGCTGATAGTCCTGGTAGCGGTGGCCAGGTGCTTTTCTCTAATGAACACATTTTCCCCCACAACAGCACAGGTTGAGTTGCACGGCCACTGACACATTTCCAGAGTGCACTGGCACAGTCATGCTACCAGCTGCCACATCTGCTTCCACCGCTGTGACTTGGAACAGGCCTGTCCCCAGTGGTGGTAGAGGACAAACCTAGGGCTCCTAAATAGCTGACATCAGAGGGTTTGAGCAGGGGGTAGTTACAGACAAAATCCTCCTTCCAAAAAGGTCCTATTCCTGTCCCTCTACAGGGACCCTCTGCAGATCCCTCTACAGAGCATGGAAGTGGGGTGCACTGGACTGCAGGCATGTACAGGTGTTTGCAACACAGATGCCTGCACCCAAAATAGCTGCTTTCACAGCTGATAAGGCAAAATAGGTGCCTTTAGAGCCTACTCTGACTTATTTAAACATCAACATTAATGACATCAACTAACTAAACATCAACTAGTGACCCTGCAAAGAATGCGAAAAGAAGAGACTTTCCTCCCAAATACCTCTTTTAATGTCCCCAGCCACTGTGCAATCCACGAACTGCAGAAGCGGCAAAGCTCAGATCTGCCTTTTGCCATCAAATTCTTCAGGGTCTTGTATCATGCAACTTGACTGAAGAGTTTCTTGCAGTTTGGGTATTTCTGCTCTCTCATTCCTGAGTAGGTTCTTGTGTGTCTACTAAGGCTTGTAGTTTTTTTTTCTCCTGTCAGTAGGCAAGCCTGCTGAGTTGGGACATCTATACAGTTACCCATTTTCATTACATTTCTGGAGAGGGGGGATGCTGGTCAACAGGTTTTTAAACATCCTGTGGCAAATACCAGCCAGCCAGCCAGATGGACACACACGCACCGACCGCCTGACTGCTTTCATAAGTGTAACTTTTTTGGAAACCTACATAAAAAGACACTTCTGCTATAAACTGATTAAACATTTACTGGAAAGTTGATTTGTGGACTGGCAGACCATAAGTGTGGATTTGGGGGGATGGGAAAGTTCATAGGCCGACTCAAATAAGGCTGTTAAAAATTCAGAGGAATAATGTAAGAAATGGTAATGCATGGAACACCATTTGAATTCCAGTTTGAAATAAAGCCTACGGAAAAACAAGCAGTTCCAAGAAAAGTTAGCCTATCTTGCAGTGTAATAATTTCCAATGACAAAAACAAAACCAGGGGATCAGGCTATTCTGTATTGCTGCAAACCACTGATGGTCAGGTCATTGTTTTCACTGAACTGAGTAAAATGATTTTTGTATTGGTGAAAGCAAATAAAACAACAGAGCCATGCAGGACTTGTAAATCTGTGAGAGAGGACATGCTGGTGTTTTTAGAGATGCAAAATGTTACTTGTATTCTTTCAGTTTGACGTAGTCAGTTTTCCAACATGATTTGTTTTTTTTAATTGTTGTCTAATATTTCATTCTTTAAAATAAATGAAACACATGTGCCTAGAGATTTATCCCTTCTGCCCTAGGATGGAAAGAATTCAGGAGCATAGTTAGTGTGTAATAACAGAAGGTAGCACTAGTAGTAAAACATGGGATGACTACGAGCCTAATGGGAATTTCAGCATCACAGTGAATGGCAACTTACAAAACACTACTGCAGAACCACAGACCTACAAAACACTACTGCAGAACCACAGACTTACAAATAAATTAAATGCTTTGACCTTAAAAGGAAAATCTGTAACTTAAAAAGGTGAAAATTAAAAATACAGGATACACAGAAATCAACCACACAATACCAGGCTCAACAGAAGTAGGAAAAAAGTTATATTACAATGCTGAAGTAACCAAAGATTGTAAACTCTTCGGTGTGGCTCTGGGAAATTTTATAATTTAGAAGACAGTCTCCAGTGATACGTGACTGTACTGGTGTTCCCCAATGCAGAGAAAATTGAAGAAAGGGCAGCAGCACCTCATGACTTTCTACGGTATGTAATCTGAATTTAGCAGTCTATTTCAGGAGATATTTCAGTGCAAAGACAAACCATCTGAATTTCAAACTAAAGCCACTGAAATGACCCATACAATTCAGAGGAAAGTCCAGCCTTCTGAATTCAGCCTGCCATCCTGAACTAGTGGTAGAACCTTGGTTCTACCAGGTCAGAAAAAAAGAACAGACTGAAAGGTGTGTGGTCTTTGATTTTTGCTCCAATTCAAACAGTCCACCTGGGATCCAGGACCAACCTCAGGGGATAACCCCAGGAGATACCAGAAAGGGATTGCATTTCAGTTTCTGAAACCAGGGATGCATTTGTAGGAACCAGTACTGAAGGATTTTTCATGCGATTAAAGACTTCAGAGAAGGATGGGCAGAACTGTTCAGAGAAATCTCAGGTAACACCCTAAAGGAACAACATACACACAGTGGGAGTCACTTGAAAGGGGCTCCCTCCAAGCGAGATAGGCAAAAGAAGAAAGAATCTACAGGAAAAAAGGCCCCAAACAGAAAGGAAAAAAAAACACCTAGGGGAAAAACAATGACACGGGAAGTTCTGAGGACAAAAAAATTATCTAAATATGTAAAATACTATTAGTTGCTTCCGCTCTCCACTTCCCCTTCTCACTGAGACACATATCCCATAGTGAATACAACAGTATTGGCTAATAAGTGTTATAAGCTCCATGAGGGATAGTGTGCTTGAAGTAAATGCTGGCTGTAACTTCCTCTGTCTAAGAATGGAATGGATAGTGATAATTTTCAAAGGCGTAAGTGGCTGTCACATTGCCATGGAAGTTTTCCAACTCTAAAAAAAAAAAAAGACCAAACCTTCCTATATACTTGTCTGAGTAACTAGGCTAGTAGCTACTAAAGGTGAGATGAATGAAGGGATGAATCAAGCTTTACTTTTGATGAGAAACGTTTAACTACAAAGTTTTATGGAAAAACTAACAGAAATTGTTGAATAGATAGTGCCATATTTCTTAAGCAAAATTACCTGACAGTCAGGCATATTTAGGTCCTATCCCTCTTACATGTATGAGAGAGCTGAAAGCCACACACTCAGAAGGGATTTTAATGTTTTATGATACTAGGCTTACACAAACTGAGGTGCCTTCCTTTGGCTTCCTCTTGGTGCCAGTGACTTTTCAATGCCCATTTTATGATGCTTTAAAGATCTGAACATCTCCATGTTGTGTTGATTTTTTTCAGAGTGGGAGCAGGAAAAAAAAAAAGAAACTTGCAAAAGCAATAAACATTTTTTTTCAAAAAAACCTTGTCTATTATATCTACATTCCTAACCATCCACCCCACAAGCTGCTGAGCACCATTATTTTGGAAAACACCTGAACATACACCAACAAGTCACTAGCTCTGGATTCAAATCTTCCCATGCAAACAGTCCTTACTAAACTCTTTGAGCCAAGCATCCAAGTGCAGGGATGGCCATTCATGGCTTTCCAAGAGCTGCTAAGTTTGGGAACCAGCTGCATGACATGGGAGATGAACTCCATGGTCACCTTGGATAGACACAAGGCTGTCCTTGAGACATGCTGACAACCTCTGCAGCAGGCTGTGTACATTTCATCCAAGAATTAAACTCCAGTGAAGTGTCGTACCCTTGCCAGTAATTATGCAGAGTGCTTTGTTCTCCGTTTGCATTAACATGTTTGAAAGGAAGTTAAGAAATGGCCACGAGTCAAATTTGGAAGAGCATGCACATTGCCTCTGTCTCCATTTAGCCAGGCAGGAACTGAAGACAGATTTAAAAATCAGTTTAAACACAATGAAGAAAGGAATTTAACAGAGTGTTAATGTGGTGTTTGGCTACTGGCAGGCAACTCAGTGAAGCTGCTGAAACAAAAGGCATTTTTGAGTCATTAATGGGTTCACAGAATTTTTTTTTTTTTGACATATTTTCATTGCTGGAGATTCCCTGCTCCTCCCCACCCACAAAAGGATTTCTCTTCACTGTAACAATAAGTAGCCAATACCTTCTTTTACACACATTGAAGCTGTCCTTTAATACCTTCACAAGCCACTGGGGTAGAAGAGATTGACTACTGCCAAGAATGGTTAAGACTCATCCAATTACACTTTGTGGTGGTTTTACAATGCATGGGTGAGATCTCATCTAGACAGTTTGCAATTAGAGCAGCCTGCCATGCAAAAAGATAATGATGTATTGGAAAAAATGATATTCCAGGACTGATTTACAAAGATTTAATGGCCTGCAGTGCAGACAGTGCTGTGTTTCCTAAATGCTTTAGTGCTGGATCTTCATTTTTACAAACAAGAATAATAAAATTATGTGAGCTCAACAGAAAACATAGGACAAAGAATAGTGGAGGAAATAAATATTGTGTTTTATTGTGCATTTCTGTGCTGCCAGATAACTACATTATAAGTATTAGTAGTGTATGGTTTGATTCTCAACATCTATCTAGTATGTCTTCTGTCCTAAAACATGCTTCTTGAAATAGTCCTTTAAGAAGCTTCTTAGAAGCAACTGCATGAATCACCTGGGAGCCAGCCTACTGTGCTCTGCTTTTCACTGTGGCTTGCACTTGACCATTGCAAGTTCAAGTGCCCTGAGGATCCTTTCAGCACTATTATACTAAATGGCTAATATGGGTGCTCTGCACACACATAGATATTCAAAGATGATAAAAATTTCACTCCTTAAGACAAGAGTAGGTCGAAGTATTTTTTTCCAGATGAAACTGATGA